CAAAATACTAAAGGGACAGTCCCCTGTGTTTTGATTGGTTAACATTCCTTTGGAGAAGCAGTCCCCATAGGTTTGACAGATTCTCCCCAATTAGTTCTCCTTATTTCTATTTCTGGACTCTGTGATCCTGAAGTGACTATTTCTATCAGCAAAGCAAGTTCTGGGCTTATTTTTTTTTTTTTAAGAAAACTGTCAAATCCAGCCTATGCTGTCTTCCCTGGGATTCCTTGACATGCAAATGCTTGTCAGATCCAGAAATACAGGTGGAAATGGCCTATCACCATTAGACAACGACCTAAATAGCAAAATCAGGTATGCAACCTGAAGCAAAGACTCTCCAGCAAGCCTTTATAGCAGTTAAGATTTGATTTTGTCAAGTCACAGACAGGATGCTCCCTCTATCTTAATATACCTCTCAGATCTCTGTTAATTCTTTGCATCTTTCAAGTTATTGGTTATAATAGATAAAAGTAAATTTAACACATGGCTATACTCATTTTGCATTCAGTCAACATTTACTGAGCACCTTCCATGCTACTAGGCACCTAATGTACCCAGCATATAAACATGCCTGCATTCTTCTAAGATTACAATAGAAATTGTGCTCAAAGGGAAGAGGATATCTATCAGTCATGAATTTTCGTTACAAATGGCAAGAAGAATGGAAACCAAAAAACCAACTAGTTGCCAGAGTCAATTCCAACTCACGGCAACCCCATGTGTTTGAGTAGAAATGCACTCCATAGGGATTTCAAGACTGTGACCTTCTGTAAACAAATCTACAGAACTTCCTTCTAGGCACATCTGGTGGATTTGAACTGCCAACCTTTTAGTTGGAAGACCAGCACTTAACTGTATGTACCACCACAAAACAATGGGAGTCTAGACAATAAGACAAGACAGCTGGTACCCAGGGAAGGTCATGTGGGAGAAGCACCACTTCCACCCTCCACACAATAGCTTCACTTGATTAAGATTCAAAACCTGGGGAGCTGAAAGATAGTGGTTTGGCAGTTACATGATGATATAATTTGGCAGTTATGTAATGATGTAATTTGTCACTTACACAATGATGTAGCTATCCTCCATTTTTTTTATATGGTCACCCCTCATTTTTGCATAATGCCAGTTTTCACTTAACAACCAGGTCTTTGGAATCTAACCATGTTCACTGTCAGTATACTGCTGCAACCGTTTTTGAATTATCATCAGTAAGATTTTACTTGCATGTAATATTAGTGATATTATTCGATAATTTCCACATTCTGTGGGATCACCTTCCTTTGGAATGCGTACAAATAAGGATCTCTTCCAGTCAGTTGGCCAGGTAGCTCTCCTTCAAATTTCTTGGCATAGAAGAGTGCCCCTAGTATAGCACCCATTTGTTGAAACATCTCAATAGATATTCTGTCAATTCCTGAAGCCTTGTTTTTTGCCAATTCTTTTAGTGCAGCTACGACTTCTTCCTTCAAAACCATTGGTTCTTGATCATATGCCATCTCCTAAAATGGATGAACATTGGCCAATTCTTTCTGGTAAAGTGACTGTGTGTATTCCTTCCATCTTCTTTTGATGTTTCCTGAGTCATTCAGCATTTTGTCCATAGAATCTTTCAATATTGCAACTCGAGGCTTGAATTTTTCCGTCATTCGTTCAGCTTGAGAAATGCCAAAGGTGTTCTTCTCCTTTAATTTTCTAACTCCAGGTCTTTGCACACTTAATTACAATGAGCTTTGTCTTCTTGAGCTGCTCTTTGAAATCTTCTGTTCAGCTCTTTTATCTTGTCATTTCTTCCATTTGCTTTTGCTACTCTCCGTTCAAGAGCAAGTTTCAGAGTCTCTTCCGACATACATTTTTGTTCTCCTTTCCTGTCTTTTTAATGACCTTTAGCTTTCTTCATGGATGATGTTCTTGATGTCATCCCACAACTCCTCTGGTTTTTGGTCATTGTTGTTCAATGTGTAAAATCTAGTCCTTAGGTGGTCCCTAAATTCAGGTTGTATTTTGGCTCTTGTAGACTTGTATTTTGTCTTCAGCTTCAATGTAAACTTGCATATGAGCAGCTGACGGTCTGTTCCACAGTCAGTTCTTGGTCTTGTTTTGGTTGAAGATATTGAACTTCTCCATTGTCTCTTCCTACAGATGTAGTCTATCTGATTCCTGTGTATTCCATCTGAAATCCACATGTACAGCTGCTGTTTATGCTGCTGAAAAGAAGTATTTGCAATGAGTAAGTCATTAGTCTTGCAAAATTCTATCATGAGATCTCCAGCATCATTTCTATCACCAAGGCCATATTTTCCAACTATGGGTGATTCTTTGTTTCCAACTTTTGTATTCCAATCACCAGTAATAATCAATGTATCTTGATTGCATGTTTGGTCAATTTCAGACTACAGAAGTTGGTAAAAATGTTCAATTTCTTCATACTGGGCTTTAGTGGTTGGTGCATAAATCTGAATCGTGCTAACTGGTTTTCCTTGTAGGCATATGGACATTATCCTATCACTGACAGCACTGTACTTCAGGATAGATCTTGAACGTTTTTTGTGATGATGAATGCCACATCATTCTTCAAATCTGTCATTCCCAGCATAGATCGTATGATTGTCTGATTCGAATGGCGAGTATCAGTCTACTTCAGCTCACTAATGCCTAGGATATCCATCTTTATGCCTTCCATTTCATTTTTGACAATTTCCAATTTTCCTAGATTCATACTTCATACATTCCATGTTCCTATTATTAATGGATGCCTGCAGCTGTTTCTCCTCATTTTGAGTCATGTCACATCAGCAAATGGAGGTCCCGAAAACTCTACTCCATCCATATCAAGGTTGACTCCACTTTGAGGATGCTGCTGTTCCCCAGTCACATTCTGAGTGCCTTCTGACCTGAGGCGCTCATCTTCTGGCACTATACTGGACGTTTCAAGGCTATTCATAATGTATTCCAGTAATACATCAGACAGTATTTCGCTACTATCCATAACATTTTCTGTGGCCAATTCTTTTAGAAGTGGATGGCCCCTTCCTTCTCTCAAGTCTGTCTTAGTCTGGAAGCTCTGCTGAAACCTGTCCACCATGGGGACCTGCTGGCATTTGCAATACCAGTGGCATAGCCCCCAGCCTCACAGCAACACGCAGGCCACTACAGTACAACCAACTGACAGACAAATGGTGGAAAAGTTCTGTGTAGTGTCTGATAAATTGTGTGCTTCTGTGCTGTGCTGACTGGCTGGCCTAATTCTCAGCAAGACAAGATGAAACAAGTGTAATCTAAAAGCACTGTACCATGCTCCACCTCAGGTAACACTTTAAAAGGAAAACTCACCTCAGTGATCCTAGCTTAGAGTTGTAGAAGGATAAAACTGTGGCATTTGTATACATAATGTTTATAATGAGATAGCTGAGATGCAATGTGAGCTCTTCAATTCAGCCCAATTTTCCCAAATTGATGATCTCAAAGCAAAAGTATCAGGTTCACTAACAAATCTTACTTCCTAGTAGTACGTAATTTCAAACATTTTCATTTTAAAATAAATATGAATATGGCATGAAAAACTCCCAAATACATTAAAAAAAAAAAAAAAATCTTTCATTGTATGTATTATTTACCTAGATCTTCCCAGCAATAATTTTGCTTACAAATAAACTGTACTTACTTAACAAATGAAAACACAGAGGCAGAATCACACTGGAATTCAGGTCTTCTCACACTCCATCCAATGAAAGTTTAGCTATTACTTTATAATTATATAACCCTAAGAATTTGTCATCTAAATTCTACCCTAAAAACACCAATATAAAACTGATGGATATACTTAATATTCTTAAAGTCATGAACAATTTAAAAATATAGAAACATGTAGTATTCAGTACATACAGGTGGTTCACAATTTACAACATATCCCAATTATGACAGACCACACTTAGAACCATCTGTTTGGGTTTTTATTTTTTCATTTTGGGTACATGTTATTGTTGGCAATGTACAAGATACAATGTTGCAGCACATAATGTGCTGATGTTACCATTCCCAGATGTTCACTAGCAGATGTTCAAAGATTGGATTTATAAAAATATCAGCAACAATAGGCAATCATAATGAGAACTAAAAATAAATGAGGTATTCAACTTACGTCAGAACTGATTTACAATGGAGTCATCAGAATGGAACCCTGTCGTAACTTGGGGATTACCTGTACTTCTCTTTTAATTAAATGTATGTGTCATATGCCTTGGACACTATGCCACCAGAGATCCCTACCTGTACTTCTTTTTAATCAACTGTCTCTCCTATTCAAGTAATATATATGCAAGAAGGTATTTTCTCCCAAATAGTAAATGCTACATAACTTTGATTGTTGTTGTTGTGATGTGCCGTCAAGTTGGCCCTGACTCATAGCGACCCCTCCTTGGGTTTCCAAGGCGGTATCACTACAGAAGTAGATTGCCCAACCTTCCTTCCGAATAACTTTTATTTGTACCTTTAAATAATATGTAGGCATCTACTTTAGAAATGATTTTATTTTATGTACAAATAATGAACTATACATATAAATTCTATTTTCCAAAAACTGTCAGACTGCTTTTTTAAAGAAAACCATGAAACAAATTTTAAAAAACACTGGTATTACTCTGCTTCTAACTCAATGTCAAGCTAGAAAAATAAAACTTGTTCTACCAAGAATCTAAACTTAGAACTGAATATTCTATAATATGGGAATTAATAGAATTGAGTGCCATTTCAGAGAAAGACTATATAGCTCTCACCTCCAACATCCACAACTGGCTAGAACAGTTAAATGAGATCAGAACAGTTCAACATAATTAGGCTTCAGTCTATAAGGCCATACATAATACTCTTCTAAGATGCTATTAAACGTAAACAGCAATCTTGAAAACAAAGTATCAGACATCATATGAGGTCTATTTTCTTTTAAGTTCATTGTGTTTCTCCCCTCTTCTGTAGCATTAATAATAAAGGGAGAATTTTACTGCAAAGAAAATTTTATTTTATATATCATTAGCCATGAATTGTTGTCATTACATAAATGATGCCTAGTGCCATTATCCAAATGTGGACCATTTTATGCCCACAATTCACTTCTGCAATTACAAACACTATTTGTAATTTACATTAAGGATATCTATCAGTGAAGATTTAACACTGACACAACAGAACATCCATAATGTGATGTTTTACAGATAGCAAGATAGAAGAGATGTCTTTTTAATCACCTTTCATTTGAGTGACCTTATGTAAAAAATTAACAAATCATACAGAAGTTCCAAGTATCCAAAGGAGTTTTCAAATGCACATAGAGAAATGGCTGCAGGCAGCTTTTTAAGAAGCATCTTCCATATCCACATCCTCCTGTAATTTCTGTACCATTTTGTCTTCCAGCTGCTTTTCTTTGCCTTTAAAAAAAAAATTTTTTTAATTGCTTTATCAATTATCACTTTGCAGAACTCATATCAACATTTTGTAAAGACCAGGAATGCTTTAGAATAACATTAGCTATTTCTAAGAGATCTAAGAACAATAGCAAGACCTGTATGTTGTTGTTGTTGTTGTTGTTATGTACCGTCAAGTCGGACCCGACTCATAGAATGACTCCTCCTTGGGTTTCCAAGGCAGTATCACTATGAAAGTAGATTGCCCATCTTCCTTCCGAGGAATGGCTGGTGGGCTTGAACCGCCAGCCTCTGGTTAGCAGGCACTACGTTACCAGAGCTCCCAAGACCTGTATAGGGCTTATGATATCCCTCACAAAAAGCAAGCACTTTACACGTATTTACTCATCTCAGCCTCATTACAACCCTCATTTTAAAGATGAGAAAGCTGAGGCACAGAGACAGATTAAGTACTTGCCCAAGGTCATTCAGCTAATAAGTTTAGCAAGTCAAAGAAATGAGATTTAACGCTGGCATTCTGGGTCCAGGGTCCCTGCTCTGAACACTCTACTACTTACCTCAAAGAGGGTTACCTAAAAAGTTTGATAACATTGGCTGTTTTCTAGGTTTTAGTTCATATCATCTATATATGAAACTCTTTATACACATTCTCCAGGGGTTTAATGACTTTGTTTTAAAAGAATATGGTGTAAAAATAACTGGTTTTGCCCAAATCTACTCAATGTGTGCTTATAAAATTTGACCTTTACTAAGGTATAGACATGGAATCATGCTGTAATCACACTTTCAACTAAATCTCATCAAAATTTCTTTCCTTTTAAATAATCTGCTTAAGTAATTAAATTATATAACAGATTGTACTTTGTGCCAGCTGAGTAAGACCGATTTTGTGGCACCTCACAAAGAAACCATGCACATGAACTGTCCAAATTATTGGATAGTAAGTTATACAAGCACACAGAGAAGGTTAAATATAAAATAGTTCCCAAATTTTAAGGTACATCAGAAATCACCTAGAGAGCTAATAAAGAACACAGAGGCCCAGAGGCAAAGGGCCCGGACCTTTTGTATTTTCACCAAGCCCTCCAAGTAATTCTGTTACCAACCAGAGTAGAGAAACACGAAAATAAAATATAATCCCCTAATCAAAACACATGAGGCAAAATCACCTATAACATTATTATTCAAGACATTTTGCTTAACATGGGAGAACTAACTTGTGTAATGTAAGATTTTATGAGGGGAAGGAAAAGAAATACAGTAACAACAGTTTGACTCTGAGAAACTGAATGAACTGTATTTTAATAGATCAAGTCACATCATAAATGTACTATGATAGATAATACTTAAATGATAAAGAGTTACCCCTAAAAGTTAGGTGATACTCAATCACACAGATCAAAAAGCCTAGAATTTAATCTCCCTACTTAAATCAAAGAACTCTGTGTTCTACAGTACTTACCTGCAAGGGGAGCCCGGATAAGATGGATGTTCTGCTTGACTTCCTTGATGTCCTGAACTTTCTGTAGCTCTTTATTTTTCTTTAGCCTAGAACAGGACACATCAAGACAAAATTTCAGTTCCTAAAACTTCCTTAAGTGATATTAATTGACAATATAGTTTTTAAGTTTTATTAATTAATTTATTAATTATTAATTCCCACACAGATGGGGAACAGGAACTAGGTAGTTGCCCTTTTGTCCACACCCCCCACCATTCCAACCAGAGCAGAAGCATCATCAAATAAACAAAGAGTCTCTTAGTTTTATCAAATTATTCCCAAAAAGCAGTATCTTTCTTACATTTATTCTAAAATTTAACGTAAAGTGACTTGTTAAGCCCTTACAGATGCACATTTTCTTTATTAACAACTCACATACAATGATTTTCTAGTTTCTAATTAGTTTAAACAAAATTCCTACACTATCAACTTTTTAATTCATTGTGTCCCTAGTGGTTAGTCCAATGTCTGGAACAAAATGGGAGCTTATATTTTGAAAGAAGAATGAACAAAACTCAGAAATCAATACCCTTACATACATTCTACAGTGCTCTATCTCATAAAACAATCTCAAATTATAAGTGCCTCGACCTTTTGTCATCAACAGATAGCACAGTCTCTATTTTTAAATATTTTGAATCATTCAGTAATTATAAGAGCATAAATCACTGAAAGGCACTCAACAAAAATGCTAATGGACTAGTGCTCAAATGTTTAGGCCTCATTTTATAATGCTTTAATATTTTTCTAAGCCAGAAAACTGCTGGCACCTGTTTCTTTTCTATGACAGACTTCGACAGTAATTAGATTAAAAACCAATGCTCTAGCTGTGAGAAAATAGCCAATTCCAGGTGGTGGGCGGGAAGTACAAGATGCATCTTAAACTTTTTGTTAGCCATAAAGCAAGAAAGTGCTAGAGGAATGATGAGGACTTATCAAAAGAAAAAAAAACACAAGAGCATGCCTAATGAAGCTCCCACTGGCCAAACCTGGGGTACTTAGAATATCAAAATAAATAATGACAGTAAAGAATTATAACCCACTGAATGCCATAAAGAGCCCATGAACACACACAGGTATGATATGAAAGAATGAATGAAATGAAGGGAGAAAATAAAGTTCTTGCTTACTTGAGAAACCCAACCAATAAATGTAGAATGATAGAATTAGGGAAAAAACAATAGTAACTGATTCAGCAAAGGACTCTCCAATGTATGTGAACACCAGTGGGTACAAGTCTAAAGAGCAACAGGCTCTCTGCAGATTCTCAATGTATGTCTCGCAAGGAATGGATTAATTAAAAAAGGGAAAAATGGTAACTTTCTAAAGAGAAACCTGGCAGACACAATCTTAACCAAGTGATCAAAGTTACTGTCACCAGTAAGGGGATATCATGTGTTTTCTGACATGCTGTACTGACAAGGATACATCGTCACTTCCGTGACATTCCTGCCAAAGGTACTTAACATGCATCTAATCATAAGGAAAACTTTAGACAAACCAAAGTGAGGAAAATTATATAAAAATAAATGACCTAGACTTTCAAAAATATCAATGTCATGAACAATAAGGAAAGATGAGAAACTGTTTTACATTAAAATAGGCTAAAGACATATGTCCACTAAATTCAACACATGAGCCAGTACTTTCTTTTGCTATGAAAGGCATTATTGGAACAACTGGCAAAATTACATATGGTTTATAGTTTTCGTAATAGTATTGTATCATTGCAATTTCTTAGTTTTGGTAACTATTGCTATAGATACGTAAGAGGATTTTAGAACATACACTTTGGAGTATATTTAAGAGGAAAAGGGCATAATGTCTCCAACATAGTATACAAAGAGAAACGATAATTATGGTAAAATGGTAACCGAATATATAGTAATTCCTTGTAATATTCTTGCAAGTTTTTGTTAAGTCTGAAATTATGTCAGAATAAAAGTGGGGATAAAAAACAGTGGTTCTAGATTTCCACTGGAAATTATTTTTCCAAGAGTTACTTTATAAAAGATTCATACCTGTTCATTATAAATGTAGCTTGGCGTTTCTGTTTGATCTCTTCAACTCTCTTCATTGCATCAACTACAAAAAAATTCAAAAAAGTTAGCAACAAATTTATGTACTTCCAAGCAGTATGATTCTAAACAAGTATTTTTACAAGATACTTCTCAAATCTGAGCGTCTGATTTAGAGACATATTTACATTAAAAAAAAAAAAAAAAAAAACGCCCTGCAAAGACAATGCCTACAGAAAGTATGTACTTTTGGTTGACATCATTAACAACTTATTTTATCTTTCACAAATATTGCTTCTCTTGTTTATTTTGCAAAAGCCTTCATTTCTACTAAAATTTCCTTCTACTTTAAACCACTCCAGTACTTTTCAAACTTTATTCTACAGAGAACTTAGATTAAATGCAACTAATACCATCCTTAGTTAATAATCTCCATAAATACAACACCTTTCTGGTCATGAACACCACTTTTTCTTCAAGTACCTGGGTTATGGTCAGCCCTTAAATAAATGTTGGTAGAATGAACCAATCACCATCAATCAATCTCGCCACAGTCCCAACCACTAAAACAAAACTATTTGGGAAAATGTATATAGAAGCTTGTATTGTCTAAGAGTCCAACTATGCTCTAGAATGTACATCAGCAGTGTCCACTATAAGACAAACCACACTTATAGTTTTAAACTTTCTAATAACTATATATAAAAAAGTAAAAAGAAACAGGTGAAATTAATTTTAATGATATATACTGCTTGATCCAATACATACAAAATAGTTCATATTTCAACATGCAATTGATATAAAAGAACGGTTAATGCAGTATCTGCATTCTTGTTCTTATGCTAAATATTCAAAATCTGGCATGAATTATACATTTACAGCCCACTTCACTTTAGACACATTTCAAGTGTTCAGTAGCCATACGGATTGTGTCCACAGTACTGGTCAGCACAACTCCCAATCTAGCTCCTTAAAGTACAGTCTGCTAATATGAGGAATTATAGTAAACTCATATGGTCTTAAAATCTCTCTTCATAATATACTTATTATGTACAAAGGGTAAAAATAACAACTTTGCAGTGAAGAAACATAGCAGATGCCATCAGAACCAAATGATCAAAGTAAACATCACCAGTAATAGAGTAACTCAGCTTCACTTGGGTGATAGTCATATTAAAGATGAATTACCAGAACTTACACTTAAGGAAATATCAGGTAAAACCGAAATGAGAGTATAAATATCTGGCCTATACTTCAAAAATGCCAATGTTATAATATATAAAGACAGACTCAGCAACTGTGCCAGATTAAGAGACTAAAGAGAGATGATACGCACTATTCCTACAATTCTTGCTATAAAGACTATTACTGGGACAACTGGAGAAATCAGGATAGATCTGAAATTGTTGTTGTTGTTGTTATGTGCCGTCGAGTTGGCCCCGACTCATAGAGACCCCTCCTTGGGTTTCCGAGGCAGTATCACTACGGAAGTAGGATTGCCCAACCTTCCTTCCGAGGAGTGGCTGGTGGATTTGAACCTCCAGTGTTCTGGTTAGCAGTCAACTGCTTTAGCCACTATGCTACCAGAGCTCCTAGATCTGAAATTAGATAATATTATATCAATACTCATTTCTTGATTTCAGTAATTGCACTATTTATGGATTAAAAAAGCATGGCATTTATGGAAAAAAAAGTAATGAATATAAAACTATTTTCAACAGATTATTTTATAGACAAACTAATAATGGAATAGTGGGGATGTGGAGAATCAACAAATCTCTTTGGAGAGTAATAATTACTTCTTAAACACTACTGACAATTAACTTTTTATTCATTGTACGAACCAGCAGAAAACATTTCTAACTTTCAGAGGACTCTCATACTGTCTACCTAACAGATCTTCTCTGAAAAGTCTATTTTCAGAATTCTAATACGTAAAAATTAACAGAATGTGTTCATGGGGAAAAAAAAATCTATAGAGTACTGCTTCTCACAGAATTTCCAGATGTACAAATGAGTGGTGCAAGGGAATGAGACCCTTTAATAATACCTGAACCAATTATCATCTAAATGAAGCAATAAAAATAGGAGAATTCAGTAAAATGCACCTAGAGGATACGGACTGTCTGTGCCTTGTTCATCCCTGTATTCCCAGAAATGAGGTACTGCCAGAGTTGGTGCTTAATAAATGTGTGCTGCACTGAAATAAATTAAGAGAACTCCAGAGTACATTATTGCTCAAATAATATGACGTGTAAACACGGCAGTGTAACATGAAACTAGCATGGAGAGTCGTATCAACTGACTATCCACCTATCACTAAAATGGGATGTGCAGCTCTGATTCACTATTAAGCTATTCACCAAACAGAAATAGTTATAAAACATGTAAAAATGATCTTGGGCTGTTCTCTTCAAGTAGTTAGAAAACAAGAATACAAAGGACAAAATGAAATAAAACTGAATGAGGTCCAGACATGATTTAGAACTTTCCAAAATGTGAAAAAACCCCGAAATCTCAAGAAAAAATGTCTTGCCAAAGGTGCCTTTTGGATTCAGTTAAAGAATTCTATACTTATTAACCTCTTTAAAAATTCTTGGGAGCTCTGGTAGCACAGTGCCTAAGGCATCCTAACCAGAAGGCTGGCAGTTCAAACTCACCAGCCACTCCTTGGCAGGAAGATTGGGCAATCTACTTCTGTAGTGATACTGCCTCAGAAACCCAAGGAGGGATCGCTATAAGTCAAATCGACTTGATGGCAGGAAGTCTGATTTCTGGTTTCAGAAATTTTTGATTTTTTATCAGTATTTTTCTCTTGCCATATAAACCCAACAAAATGAACTGCTTTTCAGAAATTAATTGCTCCTCTAATTATAAAATAGGAAGGGAAGTGCACCAGCAGCAGAAGAGAAGCCAGATGACTGGGACCTTCTAAAAATTAAATGTTTATGTGCTTCCAAAGACTTCTCCAAAAGAGTCAAAAGAGAACCTACAGATTGGGAAAAAATATTTGGTA